GCTCTGTCCACACCCTCCTCACAATTTTGGGTTATGTCACATTTGTCAGTGCTGCAACCATGTCCTGTTGACGTTCACCTCTACAAGCCAAACGCTGCTTGTGTGGGCACCTGGAGCACTTTGCCTACTGGCCTGTTTTCCTGGCCACGGTGGTATGTGCCGCCAGCACATAGGAAAAGTCAGAAGTCGTGAAAAGCTAATACCCAGAAGCTTCTCTAATCCAATAATAAACAAAGGTTTAGTGCATAAGCCTCCCATCTTCCTTTCTCCTCAATGGGGATAACTCTGAGGTATATTTGACACTGTCAGAGTTTCCCAGTGGAGTAGGACCCACAGTGGTAGCTGGCTTGAAAACCTACATTTTATTCCTTCCCTGCTCCCTTTACTTTCCCACTCCACTCCCCATACTTAACAACGTCATTTCCATAGTAAACTATTTACATTAGAATCCTGGCCTTGGGGTCCGCTTCCTGAGGAACCCAAGCCAAGTCAGGCTGATCTTTGAGTGCGACTCCAAGTGTGCTGTGCGGTTGGTGCTGGTTTCTGACCTGTTACTGGTCTGATAAATTCAGAAGTTGAGCTTAAAAGTTTACAAACTTTTGTTGCAATTTGGCGTTGCCATAATATTTGTGTGTGGTTGTGTGTTTTACACACACACACACACACACACACACACTCACACACACTCACACACAATGATCTGTGGTGAATTGGAAAAAAACAAAACCAAAAAACCTGCCTTTATCTTGGGTAGTTGGAGTGGCACTCCTTTCCATGGCACTGACAATGAGTGGAAGTGCTACTAGGAAAATTGTGGTTAGCTATAAGAGAGAATTTTCTAATTGCCCAGAGTGCCTAAAAATGGAAGCGATTTAATTGGTGGCAGTCAACGCCCTATATTGTGAGAAGAATGCTGAGCTGGCTGGCTGTGGAGACTGTAAAGAATCCCTGCATTTGGTGGCAGATCTCTTCCATTTTCACAGATTTTACTTCTGTGCCTTAATGAAATTTGAACAGAAATTCTGTCATTCTTCTTCTCTTTCTTTTTTTTTTTAAATTAAATTTATTGGCGTGACATTATTGGGTTGTTGGAAAAGTCATGACATATTTTTTTCTATGTGTTTCGTTGCAAAAATGTGTCATGACTTTTCCGACAACCCAATAGTTAGTAAAATTATATAGGTTTCAAGTGTATAATTCTGTAATACATCATTTATACATTGCATTGTGTTCACCACCCAAAGTCAAATCTCCTGCCATCACCACATATTTGACCCCGTTACCGTCTTCTACCATCCCCTTCCTCCTCATTCTCCAGGTAACCACTAAACTCTTGTCTGTGTCTGTTTTTGTTTCTTCATTTGTTTGTCTTGTTCCTTTGTTGCTTTCAGTTTTATATCCCACATACAAGTGAAGTCACATGGTTCTTGACTTTTTCTGTCTGACTTATTCTGCTTAGCATAATAATCTCACAATCTAGCCATGTTGTCGCAAATGGCAGGAATACTTTCTTTAAAAAACTTTTTTTACAACTACAATCATTTTTCCCCTTTCCTGGGATGTTCTATTTTATTTGCTTTCTCTAGTTGTATTTCTTCTCTTTCTATGAAAGAAAGGATGAGTAAAAAACTAGGGCCGGCCGAGTGGCGCGATGGTTAAGAACTGGCTTGGGACGCCAGAGGGCCCCGGTTCGGATCCCACATATGAGGGCCAGTGACACTGCCCTCCACAGCTAAGATGGTGAACAACAGCTCAACCTGGAGCTGGGCTGCCATGAGTCGCCGGCGATGGCGTAGGCTGCAGCCCCTGTGGCAGTGGGTTGCCATGGGCTACCGTATGTAGCCAGCAGCCAGCGTGAGCAGCCAGCAGCCGCAGTGAGCAGCCGTCCAGAAGCTGGCGACTTGATCTGCTTCACCCGGGAAGAGCGCAATGATGGTGTCAACTTGGGCCAGTGAAGCAATGTCCTCCACAACTAGACTGAAGAATAAAACGACAGCCACTTGTCTGTTCCCCTTTCCTCAATTCCCCAGCGCTGTTCCCATCCCCGAATTCCCCAATAAAAATCTTAAAAAAAAACAAAACAAAAGAAAAAGAAAACATTTTGCCTATCAGCTCCTGGAGAAGACCTGTGCTCTCCTTGGCTACTCCTTTGAGTCCTCACATTGGCGGGGAGGTTCTCCTACTGAACGAACAAAGCTTTCTTTGATGTAGGAAAGCTTGTGGCCAGACTGCAGTGGGAAAATTAAAATAGAAGTTACCACAGAGTTAAACTTCATGTTGCAACTATAGATCTCATGTCACTACAACTGTATATGGTGTATTAAAATCAACCATAGGCAACTGTGGAGTGTTAAGGATGGTAGTGCAATCAGGAATATTTAAAGTGCTAATGAGCGTCTTTAAAAAAAGTTTCAAAAAAGAGCTCCCAGTGTTTCAGTTCATCCAGCCGAATGTAGGGATTCAAAGGGACATCTTGGCGGACAGCCTGTGTCCTCCATTATACTGTGGTATTGAAAGGGAATGGCCCTGGAGTCAGACTGCCTCAATTCAAATCTCAGCTCTGCCTCTTACAAACAAAGGCACTCAATGTTTTCAAGGCTCAGTTTCTTCTGAAAAATGGGGATAATAAGAATACTGACAAGAAAAAACTCTGAGATGTCCTAAATTAAATTTCAGCATGCTGGAGGGTGGAAGGATGAGACAAGAGAGGTTAATCAGTTTACAACTGCAGGGCAAAACCAGCAAAAGATTGCTTACATTCCTGAATGTATGTTGAAACTTTGAATTAACTTCCAGGTAGCTGTTTCCATGATTATCCAAAGAACAGCCAAGTATCCGGACCACAAGCCTCTGCCAACCACCATGTGCCTCCACATCTTGCTTACATATGAACTATACAGACTGTCGCCCACAAGCCAACCTAACGGAGCAAACACTTCTACCTTATGGACTCAGCATCTATCCCAGATCATGGCTCCTTCAACTTCTCCCACCCCCATTAGCTATAGCCAGTGTAAATACTTTCAAAACAACTTACATCTTTCTTCCCCAAACTTGATGTATTAAAGAGTCTGTTAACTCCAGGACAACTGACATGTTTGTCTTTTCCACCCATCCCTGCTGCTGGTGGTTTAAATTGCATGCCCCAGGACCCAGTCCTTTCTCTGGCTAGCATATGGCTCAATAAACCCTTTCTTTTAGAAAAGCCTTTGGCTGTGAATGTTTTTTTGTTGTTGTCCTTGTTTGTTTTTTAATTTAACAGTACTTTAGATAATTATTATGAGGATTAAATAAGACAATGCATATCAAGTTTTAGCTCAGGCTTTCCTCATAGTGTTATACTATAAACATCCTTAAAAGCTTTCCAAGATTCCATTGTAGCTGGAAACATGTGGAACAGGTTGGGCTAGGGTAGGGTGCACTGGCCTGCTTGTCCACACTCCCTTTTTCTCTGATTCCTGTTCTTTTCCCTTTCACCCTTGATCCTTCTCTTCCCTCCTTTGGGTCTTTTTCTTGCTTCCTCTTATTTGAGAGTTCAGGGCTTTGCCTTGAGCTTCAGGAAAGGTAATGCATAGAAGAACAACTTACTCTCTTTCCTAAATTCTACTGAACACATCTTTAGAGGAGTGGAGGATTTTTCAACATTGTAATCCTAATTCATTGTAGCAAATTGGAGTAGGACCGTATAAGGATGTTTTGGGTGTGTGTGTATTAGACGGGGGTGGTGTGGATGACGGTTGTGGTGATGGAGAATGTAGCGCCTTGACTGCCATTCCACCTTGATTTGGGGAGGAGGTCCAGCATCTTTGGAGCTCCCCAAGGTAAAATTCATTATATACATTCATGATTATCATGACTCTTCTGTGATCCCTGAACAATAAACGCGTGAAAAACTCTTTAGTGCAATTTCTAATTGAAGTAGTTTTTAAGCGGGAGCTTTTCTATTTGCTTCTAGCTTCCTCTCGGTGGACAGCCCTCTCTTTATCAGTTTTTGTTTTGCTTTTGAAAGAATGATAACATCTATCAGGGCTGCAGCTGCCCAGTTGTGCAGGGAGTTTAATGTCTAGTCCCACAGGCTGAAATCCAGTTTGAGGTCAGTCCACTCGTGATGCCATTCGTCCTGCCTGGGTGGCATGCAGCTGGAGGAAGGAAAGCCCAGTGTGGGACAGTGTACTCATACCCATCAGTTTGGTCAGCTGATGGGCTCCCCTCTGTGAGGGGAAAACTGAAATATGCAATATATCGGAATGCATCTCCTTGTTGAGGCCAAGCATATGTTGCATGGAGCTGCGAATGCGTTAATGTGCTTTAAAACCCATGTTTGGCTTCCTTTTCCTTATCCCTGAAGGGAGGTATTTTTAGTTCCAGATGCTGGAATTACTGTGGTTCAAAATTTTTCCATCACTTTCTTTGTAATGCTGATGAGTCAAAACCTGAGTTAAACAAAACTAGAAAAGATTTTTAAAATAATGTTTAATGAGTACATTTACAAAAGCAGTTATTTTTTTCAACATGGGGAAAACATACAAAAATAAAAGGTCTATAGGCTTAATAAAAATTTTTCTAGAATACAGGAAACAGACCAGTAGCGAAGACATTTAGTCTAACTCTTTTATGTAGAACAGTTTGGATCTGTTAAAAGGAATACAGTTCACTCAATACACCAATTTCCTTCTTTCCCAAACTCATTCTCTCCACCTTAAGTAAACTGGAGGAATTGGCTGTATTAAGATAGTCAAACTGGTTTGATGGTTTGGGGAGGGAGGGATTTGGGGAGGGAATTGGCTTCTCTGGTCAGTTGGTGGGGTTTGGAGCCTTTGTGTTTGGGGCTGAGGGTCAGGCCTGGCAATGCAGTGCTGTGTTCAAACCACCGGGAGACGCTCTTTAACTTCTGGCTTCATAGATAGCTTTTAATTAAGTACCCAGCTAGAGCATTTTTACTAGGTTATAAAAGTAGTGTTCTTTTTACTCCAGGAGAGCTTTTGTACTGTGGTATTTTCTGTTTTTAGTGATGAACTGTGACCCAGTAAAGACCTATTACTCTTACTAAAACGGAGCATGGTTAACCCAAAAGGCTTTCCTTACATCAGCCCCCAGTACCTGATCTTGAATCAACCAATCATCTAGCAAAGGGTAGGCTCTAGCCCTAGAACACTTGGCTGTTTAAGAGCGTGGGTGAGGAGGGACATTATCCCTGCTCTGGGGTCAGCACCACATACCACAGCTCTGCTCAAAGTCTCCCAGCTCTTTTGAATCCTTGCTTGGGTGGATCAAGGATAAATTAATGGATCCTATGTTCTGTGTATCTTCTCAGTGAACACTAATTGAAATACAAAACAAAATCTATGTGGGTATCATGAAACTAACACCCTCATCCAATGCTGGTGATATTGACAAGGTCACTTTAGAAATAATATGGCAATATATATCAGATGCTATTAAAAGTTATTTAATTTTGTAATCTCGATTCTTAGCAAGTATTCTGAGGAAAAAAGTAAGTGCTAAGATCATTTCTGAAATGTTGTTTTAGTAAAAAATGAATGTAACCTACATATTTAATTAGGGCAGCGCTTAATAAATGCCCATTTGAAGTAATATTATGCAGCTTCTAATTAAATAATATGCCTTGTAAGTAAGAGAACAAAGCGCTAATATATTACATAAAAAGGAAGGGTATAAAATTGAACTACAATATAAATAGAGTATTTTCAAAAAGTTTTATAGAAAACTATCCTGGATTACAGGTGGTGTTTTAATATATTTTAATCATTTTGTATAATGTCATGTAGACTATATGATAATAAAAGTAAAAAAAAAGAGAAAAATAAATGGTCTTGATAGAGCAGGTAAAAAAAAGTCAAACTCAAAGCCTTTTGGTTATTTCAGTATGTGGGAAGATCTTGCAGAAATCTCCTTTTAGCTCCTTGTATGAGCCAGTAAGGCTAATCCTGCTGAAGTCTTCTTGGAAATGCACCTATCATCACTGAAAAACAGAGAGAATCGTCCTGCATTCCACCAAGAATTTGAGAAAGAGCTAAGTCTCATGTTTGTTCACACCTCTCTGTCCTAAAGAACATGTGCCAGCTCATTGGGAAGACTTGTCTGCCCTAAGATTTTCCATAATTCTCTCTTATCTGTGCATCAGTCAAACTTACACTTTCATTATTCATTTAATTTCACTGCTTCAAATTATAATGAACTATGATAAATTATAGAAGCTATTGTTTTACACTAGAAATTCATTTTATATATGATCAATATTGAATAATGTTTGGAATACATTATTTATACAGCATACCACAATACCTAAACAAAAGCATACCTAATCTAGTGCAATTTTACAAAATTTATTTAGCTTGCTCTCTAAAATTCTGGTTTATTTGAACATTTTGTGCAAGGGCCCTTATCAACCTTTCATTGCTTATTGTACATTGGGAAATTCCAAGTAGATGTCCCTCAATTTTAATTCAATCTTTCCTATACCTATTCCTTGTAGAGGAGGGATCTTATGACAGCTATATAGATTTGCATATATCCCATTCATGCTTCCAATCAATTGCAATATTTTTGTTGTGTTATAAAATAGTTCTCCACTGTACACATTTATATTGGTAAAAGCAAAATCAAAGAGCACATTTAAATCCATAATTCACTAGGGCAATATTTATAATCATCTTCATGTCCAAAAAACAAAACAAAACAATCTCCTTTTACTTAATTTGGCCCTCGTCTTCAGACTTACCTAATAAAATCCCTATCAGTGGTCACCATCTTACTATTTTCTCTTTCACTCCATTCAGTCCTTGAACCAGTGAAGGAAGTTGCATGTTCTTCTCCTGGATTTTGCAAGACATTAGGTTATGCATGGTGCCCACAACAAGAAGTTTCGAAGTGTCAAGTCTCAAAGCTAATCTAGATCTCAGCCCCGCCCCCCCCACACACACACACACTGCCCCCTTCTCTGTACAGAAACTTCAGACCATGGTGGGGGAAAAGCACTTTCTGAACTGTGCCTGTTATCCTTTAAACATACAACACAGAACTCCAAGTTCAGAAGTCAGATCGAATTGAACTTTGCTTTAAATATCCGTTTTTCCATTCAGTGATTTTGAGAATTTCGAATTTCTTTCCCAGCCCTGGCGGATACGCGTGAGGGTGTTGTCTATACATGGCAGGATGAGGATAAACTTGATCACCAGCACGGTGCAAGGAATGATGAGTGCTATCACGTAGGCTGAAGGAAGATACCATCTGAGAATGTAAGGACTGAGGAATCTCTTTCCGCCATATACCAGGGTGTGGGCTGTGCACAGGATCAGGGTCAAATAACCCAGTTTGGACTATAAGCAAGAAACAAAAATATGTACATTAACACTATTTACACTTTAAAGCAAGACACTTTAAGCCAAGGAAGGATATTTGTCAACAACCACAAACCTTTGAAGCCTATGATATTTAGAACACTCTGCTAAGTACTGACAAAAGCATTAACCCTCCTTCAGGATGATAAAAAGTTCATTAAAAAAAAAAAAAGATTGTGCTTACAAATGACACGGTGGTTTCATCTTAACCTGGCTGGATGGGAAAGTTTCCCAGGAATAAACTCTTTTGGGTTAGAATAAATAAGTTACCTTGCCTTCTTCCCTAATGGCAAAATTCTTTCCTTGATCACCTTTTCTGGAGGCCAGAGATGAGTAAGACACAGTATGTCCTCAAGGAGCACTCCTTTAGTATACATTACTGACTAAAAGCAGATGCTAGCTAATTTCTATCATAATAAAGAACAATTAGCAAACTTTATTTTTGTTTGCTTACTTTGGCCTAAAAACTCAATGTTTATTTCTATCTTAATGCCTCGAATAAAGGCATTAACATGAGAAAATGTTGACTGCATTTGGTCCCTGGGACAAACTGTAAGACTTTTGAAATTCAAATAGTTTTATAAAATTCAAATCTAGTTGCAGTTACTAGTGGTCTGTTCTGTTATAATGGTTCACAGTGAATGTGCATCAGAACCATCTGGGGGGCTTGTTAAACCAAATTGCTGGGTCACATGTCCAGAGTTTCTGATTCATTGTGTCCAGGTGGGGCCTGCGGATTTGTGTATCTAACAAGGTCCCAGGTGATACTCATGCTGCTGGTGCAGGTACTACACTTTAAGACCACTGGTCAATAAGAATAGTTACTAACCGCCTTTATTGAGGTGTCTGGTGGTTGATATGTGGGGGGAAAAAATGCTTTCCTTCTTACAGACTGACCCTAAGTCTGGTATGATGACAGTCTAGCATATCTTGCTTTCAAAGGTTTTAAACTTTAATATATGCCTTTACATATCAATGTATTCATATTCTAAGGTTGATTTTCAGAAGTAGAAATTTTGTCTTGGTTTTTCAGCTTGCACTTAGTACATCTCCAGATATAAAGCTTAATAGTTGTTGATGTTTTTCACTCTATACTCATAGCTGGGTCTCTGGGAGTAGTCAGGAATCTTAACAAGGGATGCCCTCCTAGGAAATCAAACCATTACGGAATCTGCCTGTTGGTACCAGAATTTAGCATTTTCTAATTTGAACTTGTTTCAGTTGCTATTTTTATGAGCTTGCTAGGGAAGTGATGGAGCAAAATGAAAATGTATGCATGCTATAAGAGAAAATGCAAATATTTGTAAAGCCAGACTCATTTTGCAGTACAAGTAGATTTAATCTTGAAGCCCTTACCTGCACAAATCGGAACTCTCTCCAGTTGACCATGTTGCTAACTGAGGGCAAGGAAGTGATCCCCAAAAGCACAAACAGGAAAAATCCAAGGATTCCTAAAGCCACGTATGAATCACTCATCCAGGCATGAGACGTACTAAATGGATTTCCTTTCTTGGCTATTGCCTAAAAAAAAATTATGAGCAATTTTTAAAAGTTACATTTTTTTACAAACTTCCCAAATGTTAAAGGAACTGAAAATACCTCTGCATCATTTATTTGCTCAAGGCAAATTATATGACATTTCTTAATAATCATTTGAAAATAATTGTAGAGGAAATACACTTAGAAATTATATTTTTGGTAGAAAAAGTAATTGGTTCTGCTGGGACTTCATTAGAATACTTGACTCCAGGAGTTGTACAGGGAGTTTTAATTGACCCTATAAATCCTAAAACAAAGTAAACATTTACTTAAACCTTGTTTACCATCTGGTTTCTTGTTCCCCAAGTAAAACAATGCTCTCAAATGATGACATAAAAATGACATAAAGATTCTGTTTTTTTCTGCTATCGTATGCTGATTATTCACACACAGTGTTTGGGTTCTTTCATGTTTATTATGTTGTAATATATCATCAAGTCTGTCACACCATAGATTGAGAGAAATCAGGCACCTGTAATGTGATTCTTACCCAAGAACCTCCCATGTACTTGTTAGGGAAACAATGTAGAAAAATTCCCAGAAGCACCATCAATGAGTTATTGACTATTAAACTTTGAGACTGAAGTAAGATTGATCAAAACAATTATTTCCAAACTAGAACTGATGTATATAACACTTCCTCTGGGACTGCTTTTTAGGTTCCCTGAGTTGATTCTCTCGGAAATTTCTGACTGCGCAGAATATAGTATCTGACATTTGCTCAGAATTGCTTAGTTTTTGGTGACAACTTCCCACAAGTCAAACATTAATGTATTTATAAGCACCCTTTTGTGAATTTGTTTATATTCCTGTGAAATATGTTGGAACAGCCACCTTACTTATAATCAAGTTGGTTTTGACTTCCAAAAGCAAGTAGCATGCATAAAAATAGAAGCCTGCAAACACATTGGTTTACATTTATTCACTGTCCCCCAAAGGAATTTAAGTAGGTGTCATTGGCTTTCCTGAGCCAGGAAATCTGTCAGTTTGTCAGGATCCCAGTCACAGGAATACAGATCTGGACCCAAGTAAACCTGGGAACCTAACTTTCATTCTTAATAGTTATCTGAGTTCTCAACTGGATTCATTAAAAAACAAAACAACAACAACAAAAATAAATAAAAAGAAACAGACATGAGGTGTCTAATGGTAGTTATTTTTAAAAGTAAAGATGCTTAGAAGAGTGATTTTCTATAATTGTGACATAGAATATGATGTAGCAAGATTCCACTGTAATTTAAGGAATAGGAGAATACAAGTGAATAGAGATTTACCTGGGTAGCAGTTAGGTTTCCCAACCTCCATCGTACATAATAACGAATAGGAATCACAAGTGTGTAGAGGACGTGGAGGAAGGCAAATCCCAGTGCTATCAAGCCAAGCTGCTTTCTGCAAAGCATCCAGTGGTCCAGCCAGTTTGGAAATCGGCGGTATTTCGTACCTCGGTACAGCTGCAGAATGGCAGCTATAACACCAGGGAGGTAAACCAAGGCAAGCAGTATGAGTGCTAGTATTGGAAAGACACGATTTGGAATGGAAATAACCATGCGAAAGGTAGTATCTTTCTTTTCATAAACATAAGGGTAGACTATTTCCCTTATAACACAGTAAAAGAAGAAGAAGATACACAGAACAACAGACAAATAGAAGGGGAACCTCCACATTGGAAATAGTTGCAAGGGGTAGTTTTCAATTTCATTGGCTGCCATGAGAGATCCTTGATCCAATGGAGTCAGTCCAAGAGTACGGACAATATCCATCACTCTCTGCTTGGCTTTGCTGTCATTTCCGCAGACAAACACCTGAGTTAAAGAGAATTAATTTTGTATTTATTCTTTCTTTAATAATTATTTTGAAAGTTCATACAAGTACCACTCAGAACAAGGACATGTAGTAGTGAACTGCTTTGCAAACAAGGATGTCAAATCAACATACTTAAGCAAGATGATGTTTTAAACTTGCACAGTACTAGATTGTTAAGCACCGGGGTTTCAAGCTGAGAGTGGTTTTAGGCACATCACACTGATGTAAGAATTGGTTCTCCATAGTGTGAATAGTTCGATCTTTCTTCTGAATTTGTGGGTGCTGCATCACTTATGGAACATTTCTAATCTCAGTGAATAAATGGAACCAGCTACATACAAGATAATGAAAGTGAAAAGGATATCCATCAGTCATCTAGCTGTGTTATTTTTCTAGGATTAACAAGAGGCCTCCAGAGACTGACACCATTGGGTTCCATCAAACTAAAAGCTGAGAGTGCGGATGGTGGGAAACAAATAACAACAATGGACTATCCTACTTGGTTAAACCCAGGGAAACTATTCATGGCACACATTAGCAGACTGAAATGTTTAGTGGGTGTTTTATTTTGGAATTCTATTTTGGAGTCTTTGAGATAAGTGCACATTAAAACATTCACTTTTTAAAGACTGAGTGGGAATTCATCATTCGGTCTTACCTGCCGACTTGCATCCAGTGCTCCTGACTGGAGCGCCCAGGCTGAGATGGTGTTAAACGCTTTTACCACACGGGCTTTCGGCACCAGCTGAGCAAGGTACTCTGCATTAGACTCTGGGTACTGATTGATTTTGAGGTTGTTGCTGACGTCGACCAATATTTTCTCACTGAGGACCTCAGTTAGTTCTGTCAGGAAGTCATAATGCTCCCTGTGGATTGCTAGGATGATGATGTCAGATTTCTGAGCTGCTTCTGAATAGCTCAAGGCCTTTGTACCACTAGGCAGCAGATTGGACATCTGGGGGTTACGACTTCCAAAAACAACAGAATAACCACACTGGAGCATTTTAAGTCCCAGTGATCTCCCAAAATCACCAGTTCCAAAAATACATACAGTCTCTTGCTCTTCTGAAAAACTCATAGTAAGAGGAAGTTCATCTGTAGACATTTTCTCCATAACTGAAAGATAACACAAATACCCAACAAAATATGAATACTTTGGACATGGAAAAGTTAATGAGAATTATCTCCAGGAAGCAATGGGTGACTGATGTTGTTTTAAGCTTCTAATGAAGTACGTGTATTCCTCACAAAATTTGGAAGGAGTAAACGTTGTCATAGATATTCTCGTGTGTGTTTCATTTAACAAAATTATTGGTGAAAAACTTCTGTTGGATAAAGACATAGAGTAAAAAAATCAACCCACTTACTGGTGGATGTTTTAAAGTATGGACATGTTTTGCAATGATATTACATTTATTGAACACTTAGTCCCAAAAGCTCTCAGTCTGCCTGGCTATCCCCTCACTTATTCTCTATTGTTTTACCCTAGTATATTATTCTTCTGTCTTTTATATTGCGATGAACACTACAAGCAAAATACAGAATTGATCAAGTTGCCAGTGTCCTGTAATGAAATGGATGATGTCTTTATTGACATATTATCACTTAGATCATCTTAATTTTTGCAAGGAGTGACTCTGGACTCTATTTTGGGTATTTTGCCACCACATTAATTTATTCTAACCTGCCATAACTTTTTTTTTAATGCAGATATTGAATACACTGTACTTTTTGCTGTTGTTCTGCTTCTTACTAGTGGTGTGACCTTGAGTAAGTGACTCAAACCCTTTGTGTCTTAGTTTAAAATGAGAGATTGATAGTACCTACTTTAGAGACATTATAAGGATCAAATGAATTAATATATCTTAAAACAATTCTTGAGACATAGTAAATTGGCTATTAATAGATTACTTAATTATCTATTAATTATCTAATCAACCTATTATCAATTATAATCTTTATATAAATTCTGTAAATCAAGGGTTAATTATACTCTGTAACTGTGTTTATTGGAAATACATAAAATTTATCTGAAACATCATTCAATAATTCTTATGAAGTTTCTGCTTTCCCTGCTTTTTTTTATTTTATAAATAAAACCCTGCATGATATGGCTTTATGAAAACATAGATGTAAAAACAGCTCAAGTGTGAATTTCTCTCATTTGTAATCCTTTCATATTTTATTTTAATATATCGCTCTTAAAATGCAGCTTGGCAATCTAGTGTAACACACTTGGGCTATTACCCCAACCCTTAAAATTTATTTTCACTCTTAAACCTTCAGATACATCACTGGGAAAATTGAAGATACAAAACCACTAATGAGATATTAAAATATCACTGGCTGACATAGAACGAAGTATAGTTATTCCATTGGACAGTTAGTTACTCCTTATCAAGTTATCGAAGTTCTAAGTTTGATCATTGTGTTGGCCACATCTGGAACTTCCCATCAAAGCCTCTGGTTCTGTTCCCAGTCCTTGGGCAATAATTGAGCTCTGCTCAGCTTCTCCTGCCTAACAGAGCCTCACTTTGGGGCCTCACATCTTGTATCTCTTGATTCTTGTCCTGGAGCTTTTCTGATACCTGTGCCTGCACAGCACTCAGACCAATGGGGGTCGGCTTCCCTTCATCTTCTGCCACACAGTTCTGACAAATTCCATAAGTTTTCTCCGAAAGTCCCAGTGGATCAGAGCACCACCCATGTGTAGCAGGGGCCAGTTTCAAGCCCTCTTGTCTGTCTTTCCCACCAACTCTGGTTTATTCACCTTGCCTCTCACTCCTGCTCCCTGAAATCACTTCCCTAATAAACCATCTGCACACAAGCCTTTGTCACAACTCTGCTTGCAAATCAACCTAGAATAATACAATATTTTGATTATTATTATTTTTTTTTTATGGAAAATGAAAAATGATCAGACCTAAGGTTACCATAACTAGGATGATAAAATAACATGTAAAAATAAGTAATTATTTGGAAGAATTGAAACTCAAACTCTTGGGGAAATATCCGAAAATAGGAGTACATAAAAATGAGATGTAGGGCCGGCGGAGTGGCGCGATGGTTAAGAGCTGGCTTGGGACGCCAGAGGGCCCCGGTTCGGATCCCACATATGAGGGCCAGTGACACTGCCCTCCACAGCTAAGAT